ACAAGGAAGACCACCACCACCACCACCACCACCCCCACCACCACGCTTTGCGGATGTCCCAGGCGCTCGAAACTTCAGAAGAAACTTCCTGGCGAGGCAGAGGTAAAAGCAGTACGGTAACAAAAATATTCGCTCTCTTTACGCGCTTCGTAATCACAGGAAAGAGGACCAATTCCGACAGCTGACAGGGAACGTCTTTCTAGCTATAAAGACATCAGGCCAGCAGCGGAAGTCTGGAAGTATCAGTGCTTTATTCCGTGTTTCAACTACGATGAACTTCAGTCCTCAATAAAGCACGTGGAAGGCGAAAACTTCCAACAGCTTGTATGTAGTAAAACAACAAAGGCTTTATTTACAGTATTATTTTTGCAGTCCATCAAGGAAAAACACCCACTAATAGTCTGTTTAAAGTACATTTACAAATAATTTCTGTCCATCTTCTGCATGCAAGTTTCAATAAGGACTGCTACCTATGCTCACTCTTCCACATTTCAAGAGCAGGAGTGTTTTAAACTTTCAGAAACTGGTGATCTCGCTCGCCAGTTCAGTGAGGTAAGAGAGCACACTGGCACGGGAACTTAACATGCAACGTGTATTTACCACTGTACTACACAGTACGTTATCAAAAAATCAAGAAGAAATGAGAAAAGAAGAACATTTTAATGCAACTCGCTTCCAATTTCATGGTGATTTTTGTTCAGTGAGACAATTTAAGGTAGCTTTCAAAAATGTTGTCCAAGCCTATTCAAGAATATAACGCTTTCCACTTAGGACCAGTATTTTGTACCTGAATCTTCCTTTCATTAATATTTCATTTTTCACAGATATGTATGTATTAAAATGTAAGTATGTATAAAAACATGCAATAAAAATGGCACTGAGAACAAGTTCTGTTACAATTCCCCATTTAAAAATCATTCTAATTTGAGAAGGCTTATCAGCCCTTAAAAGAATCTCAAAAATGGAAAGTAAAACGCAGCAAGGCTGCAATTCCCTTCCCTTCCCCTGAAACGCACATATGATGCCTTAATACTGTTACTTGAGTTACCTTTCTGCCGCTGCTACTGTCAGTGTCAGTTTGCTCTTCGCCAGGAAAGCCCCGCCGCTGGCTGCAGGGCTTGGGCAGACAAGCACTCACCAGCCTCGCTGCGCCCACAGCACTGACGGTAACGTTTCACTGTTGGGCAGGTGAGCTTAGGGCGCTGATGAAAAACTAGCGATTTACAATAAAATGTCCCAATATGAACAGCAGTGTGGACACATGCCCTATTCTACCGCCCACACCACAGGAGCAAGAAAGCTGTGTCCAAAACATGATGTGGATGGATTGAGGCAGTTTTTTCAGTCACCACAGTAAAGTTCAGCAGAGCTTTCCTGCCACAGCTATCAGAAGAGATTTTAGGCACTTTTTACCCATCCTTTGAACTGTTCTTCCTTTTTCTCACGTAAGTTTCTGAGCTAAACAAACTAAGATAATTAGTTCTCTAATAGGCTATGTTGCTCTTTTGCAGAAAGGGAAACTGTTTGACAACATTTTATTCCTAAAGATCAGCTGGCACTCTGATATAGCTATGTAGTTTCACAGCTTAAAAAAAAGTTTTAGGGAACAGACTAGTTGTTCTAGTGCTTCTAACAAATGCCACACCCCAAAATGATGTAGTTATGACCTTTGTATGAGAATATCTTTCACTAAACACAGAACAAACCACAACAACAAAAAATACATTTGACAAAACTGAAGAGGCTGCAATGACACCTTTTCTGAGCCATTTCTGGATTCCCATTAAAGAGGAAGACTGGCAGCCCCACTAAGGCACACTAAAGTAAGCAATGGCTGGAATTTCTCCAAAACCTGCCTGATATTAACAGTGTAAAATGACACAACTAAATGACTACTTCAAATGTGTTAAAGCATCAATTAACACCTGGAATGCTACTCTGCCAACAGAGCAATGCTGAAGAAATTCAAACCCATAAGCCAATCAGCTGATTTCAAAGTCCTCAATCTCTCTTTTTCTTTTTTTCTATTGTAGCCATGAAGAAATATTCAACCATAATCCATTAAAAAGTAATTTATTCATCAGTTGTACTGCCCTATTTGTCTACAGTGTAATTTATTATCTTTCCTAAAAATAGTTTATTGAAGAAAATGCTTTTGTTATTAAAACTGTGTGGGGTTTTTTCTGAACTGGAATTCAGCTGTGAATTCATGGCACTATCATGGCAGTCTAGCCCTACACTCCATATGACTCCAAATATACGCAGCTGAAGTGTGCAAGATTTGTCATATGGTCCAAAACGATTCTGAAAGCAGGGAGTTCAGTGGTAACAGTTCTTTAGATGTGGTTCTGTGATATTTTTAACAGCATGATCCCCAAACCAAATGAGCTGCACTGTCCCAAATTTCAATAAAGAATGATAGTGCTGAACATAAGAACAAAGATAGTATTGTAAAAGGGGAACACATGAAAAAAGAAACGTCAGTCTCAGACTTCACAACAATTTGAACATTAAATCCATTTCAACAGACAAGATGATTCAAAACATTTGCAGCAGTACATACAATACCAAGTAAATGTATTTGCCAAAGCAAAACTGAAAAATATTAGATGTTTCTCCTACATGTAATGGGGGCAAGAAGTGACTTAAGTAACCGTAAGCATATTACCTCAATCACATGTACAGTTTTGAACACAACTTCGAGGTGGAACAGAATGCCAGAGATAAATTGGACTGTCAGTCTAAGGCAGTATGCAACAACAACTTTTCTATTACAGGTTAAAAAAACCTGATATGGTGCCACAAAGAAAATTATTAATTTGGATGGAGAAAAGAGGGATTGTAAGAACAGTAAAGAATTCACTACAGGGCAGACAACAAGTAGTTTCAAGAACAGAGATTACTAGTGTAGTTCAAATGACATTCAAGGGCCTTGATTCTTCAGTCAGCTTGATTCACGAATACTTACCCTTTTCATTAATGAACTAAGCCCAAAAAGCAAAACTTTGATAAACTTGCTGACAAACATGAATTGTCAATTCAGTTGAGTGTTGTTCTTCTGCAGGAAGATTTTGATCACATGAAGAACTGAAGTAACAGAAATGGAATGAAATACAAAAGCATGAAATTGGGAAAGTTACGCATATTGGGAACTCTGAAGCCTTTCTGCTTCACATAGACTAGGAGTTCATGCATAGGAGATAGCTACATCCAAGGACTCAAGTACCCTAACTGAT